TTAGTTGTTCTGATGATTGATTTTCTAAAAGCCACAACGAACCACCTCGTGATTACTGCTACAATTAACAATTGTCTCAGTAAACCCATCAAACCTCTACAGCAGTGATTGGGATTTGAAACCGATTGTTTTCTGGTGACAGCTCAAATGCTGTACATGAGAGGTTAATCTTTATTAGCTCCACCTGGCCGTTTTACAAGGTGATTCTGGATACTATTATGAGAAATGATGCATTATGATGCGTTTTGATGCGACACGCCCACCGCGTTGTACTGCAGCATACTCCGTTCATTTTGAATGGCTGTATATAGCTGTTAGTATTGCTGTAATCAATTTTCTTTGTAAACAAGTTTTATTTTTAATTTGACTTATTCACGCATGATGAAGTATTATCTACACTATATTATATTATGCACACATGTTTTTCTTAATATAAATTATAACATATTCAATGTTAAGCTATATTAATAATGAAATAAAAACATGAATTAGCAAAAATGAATACTGTCAACTGTTCAACCGGTTTAATTCAAAACACTTTGTTCAGTGGGGCAATTTAACAGACGTCACAAGCCTTAAAATGAAATTGCATATATTGTAATTAGAATCAGGAATAACAAAGTGGTATTAAAATACCACTGAAACTATAATAATGTGTCTGGTCATTATTAACAGTACTGATTTCATAATAATAATTTCAAGCTTCTTGTATCTTTTTCAGAGTCATTTCTTTCTTCAGTTTTCATAAGCTTCACTTATTAAAATACCTATTTATGAGATAACTTTGTGAACAGATGACACAGAGCCTGCAACCCACTGAGATTCAGACACAGAATGGTTAAAAATGGGAACAGGTAAGTCAGGCAGAGGGAGGGGGGAGGGGGAGGTGTCTTCCCACCTCTATGACTAAAGAATGTGTCAAAGAGAAATGGCTTGAGCGTCTTACAGAGCCGAAAAAGTTTGGTGTGGTCTTCTCTGCTTTAAAGGTACACTCCTTGTGGATACATTTTCACCTCATGGGAAATACGTTTGCCCACTAGCTAACACACAGAAACAAACTGAATACAAAATGTACTTGCAAGAATAGTGATACAAACATTTAAAAAAAACAAACTTCCTTTATACTGTACAGTGTATTAAAACACTCTATGGTCACTACGCTGTCCACTAAACCTCTTTCCCATAATTTCACGGGGGCAAGGTCACGTAGCCGATTCACAGCTGGATACGATTTTATCTTGCAGAAATTCAAATATTTGTCAACATATTTACTAAAACTATCCATCTCAGTAATCTCACTGTTTTAGTCTCAGTTAGCCCCAGTGCTCACTCAATGTTCACACTCCCAGTAAAATAAAAAAACCCGTTTCCCGCATTGTCACCTTGCCCTGGGGGGTAGGAAAAGTGCCCACGGTCATTTTTTTCACTGACAGACAAAGCTGTGTTGTGTTAACACAAACTCTGCTTAACAGAGCCGCTTGTAAAAGCAAGGTGACTTTCTGCTATCTAAACCATTTTTTACAGCTTTTGAAGTCACGCAATGTTTGAGTTAGGCAGGAACATGTCATTGTATCTTACTTTTTATTTAATTTATTTCAAATAAATATAAGGCAACCAGCAATCAAATGTCCTGTATTTTCTTAACACTCGTTTTCCAATACTGTAGTTTTAAAACTTCAACAAAGACGTGCAACATGCAAACAGTGCAATGTTGTATTGTTTTAAAGCCACTACAGTATAGCTTGTGGGAAATATTTATTTGTACTGCATCAAAGCTTAATTCGTTCAGAGCACCCGACATTACAAACTGTCAAAGGTCATTCATTACTATTATTATTAATAATATCTGCTGTACTGCATTGAAATTGGATTGTTTTTACAAATGTTAACCCACCAGTCTATTTTGTAATCATTTTTCCCAGGACAGGTAGAAGTTTCACCTACACTATTTGGTTACATTTTTTTATGATTTTGACAGACTTCAGAATTACTAACATAATGCTTACTGTGGTGGAAGAGCTATTGAGCACAGAACAACTTTCCACCTCTGAAATGATTTGCATATGTAGTTTTTTCTTATCTGTGTGAATACGGGAAACACAGAGGGAGATTCACAAATTAAAGAGAGGTCTGTACCACCCTGTCTCAAAAACAGGCTTTTTACTAAGAAAACAAAGGTTATGAAAACACTGACAAATCACCCCCAACACAATACAATTTTAAAATACAAGCAGTTTGAAATTATTAGTTATTAATAAATTCATAGTTAATAAATATCAGGTACGTTATTATAGTTCAGTTTTCAGCAGTCGTTTTAATACTGTATTGTCATTCTTGATTATAATTATAATATATATGATTTCGTTTTAAGGCTTGTTGTAAAGGCTTGTCTTTGATTGCCCCGCTTGAATGAATAAGGTATTTTGAATTGACTTGAATTAAACTGTTTTTTGGAACTGTTTTTTACTCCCACTGTTGAAAGTATACACATTTGCTCATTCATGTTGTTGATATAATTTAACTTTGATCACCTTGTGATATATAGAAATACCAAATTCAATAAAGTGTCCATAATATTTACTATTTTAAAGAAATATTTATTTGATAAAGGAAAACATACCCTGAGAAGGAATTTAACCCCAGCTTCCAGAACATGCACCAAAGCCATTATGCCAACAGGCCACTCGGCAGCTTTGGCTATAGCTAAAAAGAGCAGGCAAAATGTTTCCAAATAATTGCGAATGAATGAGTCAATTTAGATCCTTTAATTAATAACATTATTAATTTCTTTAGTTAGGCGATTCCATATTATATTCACTATTAAGCTGATTCTAAAAAATTTGCATTTTTTACTGCGATAAGGAGCACAAGTATTTATAAAAAAGGTTAAACAATTATAGCTTTTTATACAGTATATAAACTTAATATAGTCAGAATGAGCATGTCAAAACTTTTCCAAAATAATCACAGTAAGTGACCGAGTGAAAGACTTTGATGCATAAAATGTTTATGCGGAAAGTGGCATACTGTTGTGTATTTTTTATTTAAACTACCACTACCAGCCATATACAGTTTATATAATCTATTTATATGACTAAATTAATATCATTTATGAAATTCAGAGACTCCTATTATATTTATGCTCAGCTACCAAAATGTCCCTTATTGTAAAATGCCATATTAATATTCTATATTAAGCGGACTTAAACATGCAGAGATTAAATGAAGCAATCATTTCACTAACAACTAATGCACTACAAGTGCCACCTGTCGGTCACTTTGGCCAGTGAATCACATACTGCGGTAGCCTGTAGATCATTTCCCGTGGTACAGGGTTTTACAGCACATTTTGAATGGATACATCTGTAGGTGTAGTAGTTCTCTGCACTGTATGGTAAAGGCATTAATTAAAGAACCAAAAATTACTCTTAAGATATGCTGCTGATGCTTTCATGTGGTAAAGATCAATCTTTATTTGTAATACAAACACATATCATCACAGGTCTTTTAACAATTGAGGACAACTAATTCATTCCTAATTATACATTTTACATAAATTTACATGTGTATATTTTTTTATTTCTGTTAGATTTCCAAAAACTCATGGCTAATGTGGTTTAAATGATCAATTATAACGTTCAAGGATTTTTCACATTGCAAAGCAGTGTCTCGTTGATCTTAGCTGTTCTTGTACGTTTTAACATAAAACAATAACTTTGTAGACGAATATTCAATATATTCTACTCTTTTTCCTGTTATGATGAAATAAGAAGACTGGTAACCAGAATCAAATACCAGATGGTGAAAAGTTGAGCAAATATTATGTGTACCTTCAATTAATCTCTGTACTCAGGCTATTTACATGATACAAGAAAGTAGGGTCACACAACCAATATTTTTAAGTCTGAATTCCCTATATACACCACAATTATTTCAGAAATGTGTTAAGTTTTTAAAACATCATTTTTATTTACTTTAAGCCTTTCCCACCTGAATGTGATCTCCTATGGCTGTTCCAATTTACATTTACTGTATATACGATGTTTTTGCATGAAAGACATCAAAAATGCGAAAAACGAACTAATTCATAAAAACGAACGCCCATATGTTGAGGACAAAAATGTTACCTAATTTCCAACTAAATTGCCAAAAGTAAATTAATTGTAAATAAAACGATTTACAATGGAATGACCTTATTCTACGATTGCTGAGTCTAGACGAGGTGTTTTCACCCGGTACTGTATGATAGACGTTTTCAGTACCACGAACGAACAATAACAGTTCAGTTTCCAGTAAAGAATCCCGTTGCTACATCACACAAGTCTTTCCCACTTCACTCTGCACCTCTCCACTATATTCTCACCAGTGAGGACGTTAAAGACACTGTTTTTAAACACACACACACTGATTTCATACAAGTCACTGCACTGACCTGACTGCTCAAGTTTCGTATCCATTTCTTCTTTTATTTCTGCAGTCTGTCCCTGATCACCTCCCACTCCCGACTCCTTATCCAACAACTGCAATCTCCACTTCAGGCTCTCGTTTTCCTTCTTCAGCTGCGCCATTTCACTCCCGAAACTGTCCTCCACACACTGTGAGATTTTAAACACAGCCCGCCTCACCAGAATCTGGGAGATGCTGCGGAGTTTGTCTTGAAACTTGTCCTCAGAATCAGACATCCTGTTTTGGAAAACTTCGGAAACTTCACAGACGATCGATTTGAGCAAAACCTCCATGAAAGAGTGGAGCTCGCTTTGCAGAATTAACAGCCAATTCGCCATCTTCTTGCTGACTTGTGAAGTCTGCACAGAGCTGCAGCAAAATAGGATCGCGCCTCCAGGAGTTTAAAAGTTTATTTTTACAAAAGAGCCATTTTTGTTTTTATTATTCATTTAAAGTAGCTGATTCAATCACCGCCACGAACTGAAATGTATGTACAGCCGCGCCGCATGATGACGTCACTCACCGGAGCTGCTGGGAATCCAAAACAACCAAGGCGCAACATAATGAGGACATTGCTGCAACAGTGAAGGGTATCTGTAAAAGGACCCTGCCGGACCAGAAGGACGTGATATCGGCCATTGACTCTGTTCACAGCCTCAGGAGGGCGAACATGTCTGGGCAAGTGGGCCCCAGAACGATTATAATACAGTTCACCAGTTCACCAAGAGGACGGCGAGGGACACGCTGTGGCGTGCGGCTAGAGGGAATGAGTATGTGATTGAGAACAAACCGAGGTTTGCAGAGGACCTGTCCGCCGCGGACAGGAGCACCAGGAACCAGCTGTCGCCCCAGGTTGAAGCTGCCAGAAGAGAGGGGAGGAGAGCCTACTTTGTGGGAGCGAGGGCCTTTGTAGACGGGAAGGAGATTCGCTCCCAGTGACTGCTCGGTTTATAATTATGTTTGGTTTTATTTGTTATACCAGTATATACTAGTATTTATTAAGTGTTAAGGAACAAGTAATAGGTTTATTCCATGCTGAAAAAAAGAAGAAAGAGAACACAACGTTTCACCTGAAGAAGGCTCCACGGCCGAAACGTTGTGTTCTCTTTCTTCTTTTTTTCAGCATGGAGTAAACCTATTACTTGTTCCTTTGCAGCCTACGCATGCTGACGCAGCTACCCACCTTTATTAAGTGTTAGTTTGGAATGGTGTAGTTAAGTATTAAGGACTGTTATAGTTCTGGTTCTTTGAAAAAATCAATAGTTTAGATAATTTAGAGTTAGTTATTTGCTTTTGTGTATGTCTTTTTCATGAATGCCAGAGGTACTCGAAATGTTGTTAAAAGAAAAATGTTTTTTTTTGTAAAAAACTGTGTGCTGAGTTTTATTTTTTACAGGAAACGCATGCATGTTGAAACTAAATTCTATAAATAATTGAGAAATATTAAAGCAAGGAAAACATGATATATGTAAAACATACAATTTGATCACATAATTACTTAATCACCTCTGGTGGTTAGGTGTTTTTTTCTGCTGGGTTTTTTTTCTCTTGTACATGATTCTGGTCCTCTTGTTGTATTTGTATCTGTAAATTGTGTATATGAATTCCATGCCTTTGCCATCACATATGCTACATCTTCAACGACATAATTATGCACATTATTTTCAACGCAGCGGCTTAAAGTAGACATGTAAAATGTTCAGTTACATTTATTTTGAATATCCTTTTTCACACCAGCTTTTGTTCAAGTTATGTTTATGTAACCAGGTGGTTATGGAGGGAGTATTTGAAATCTGACACTGAAATTGGTAGCTGTCGCTTTAAGGCATGGACGTACAGTATGAGTGACGTTAGCGCGCCAGTAAGTGTGGGGGTGGACATTGTAAAGTTAAGTGTGGGGTGTGGATGTGTGATGTGAATGCAGAGGTAAATGTTCACAATTCAGTTGATTTTGTAAGTATCGAAAATGAAGTTTGGTTATCCTTGAAAGAGACGTATATTGTTGATATATGGATGGTGACATATTAGAGAAGATGTGTGGATGTTTGGGGATGAAGTGATTCCAATGCCCATGAGGTTCCAGTGCTGTGTGCGTGAGTTTGCAGGAATAATGTCCACAACGTTGAATGGTCATGCATTTTTGTTAGATGTTTGTGTTTCTTTAACCATTGTTTGGTTAAAGAAATGTGACTCCTGTGACTCCTCCATCACAGAGTCCCTGGACCCCCTGCAGTTCGCCTACCAGAACAACAGATCAGTGGATGATGCTGTCTCCCTGGCTCTGGATACAGCCTTGGAACACCTGGACACTAAGAACTCGTATGTGAGAATGCTGTTTGTGGACTACAGTTCAGCGTTCAATTCCATCATACCCAGTCAACTGGTGACAAAGCTCAGGGGATTAGGTCTGTGCAACTCTGTCTGCAACTGGCTGCTGGACTTTCCGAGAGACCACAGGTGGTGCGGATAGGCAATAAAACATCAACACCACTCACCCTGAGCACTGGAACCCCACAAGGCTGCTGTCTGAGTCCAAGGTTGTACTCCCTATTTACTCATGACTGCACAGCAAGACACAGCAACAACCGCATCATTAAGTTTGCCGATGACACCACTATAATAGGACTGATCAGTGATGATGACGAGTCCTCTTACAGGGATGAAGTTGTACAGCTGCTTAGGTGGTGTCATAGCAATAACCTGGACTTGAACATAAAGAAAACGAAAGAGCTAATAGTGGACTTTCGGAGACACAGGCCACACACTCACAGCCCACTCAGTATTGATGGAACGGAAGTGGAAACAGTGGTCAATATGGCCCAGAAGATCATCGGCTGCGGTCTCACCGAGATTAAACAGCTCTATGAGGATCGCTGCCGTGGTAGAATTCTGGCCATCATAGAGGACAGTCACCACCCCGGACATGAGCTCTTCACCCCACTGCCCTCAGGCAAGAGATATAAGAGCATACGGACACTTACCACTAGATTCTTCAATAGCTTCTATCCACAAGCAGTGAGACTGGCGAACACATTTAGCCATCCCCCTCGGACCACACCTACACCATCACCATCTACCTCATTGTAATTTATTTATTGTATGTCTCCAGTCATTGTTTACACGTCTGTATTGTTTACATTCAAACTGCATGTTTACTTCCACATTGTCTATTGTTTGTTTGTACATTGTCTTGATGCACTGTTTGCACTTTGTTTTGTTTTTTACACTTGTTTTACAATCGAGAGACTTTCTGTAAGTAAGAATTCCATTGTACCAGCACCGGTTACATATGGCAATAAAGTTCAAGTTCAAGTTCAAGTTTGTGGAGGAAATTATTTGTTTTGTACTTTGAGAATGACCTTATTTTGTTTAACTTGTTCATAGTGTGTTAAAAGAAGACTGATCTTCCATGCGTCTTGGTTAGACAAGAGATCAAAGAGAGTAGTTTTTTTTAAATTCTGTGATGTAATGGGACCAATGAATAATGTGGCATCAAACTAATGTGGGGTATTTCTTTCCTTAGGGAAACTGCCATTACCTTATTTTTTTATTTGTGTTTGTTATTTTAGTAGATCTTTGTGCATCATTGTGTATGTATATCTATCTTTGCATATGTGAAACTTTTGGTTTAACGGTTATACTGCTTCCAATCTAAGTTTCTGTAACAGGGATTCTACATTCTCTCAGATTTGCTGAGGTGTGGCCCACAAACAGATAATAAAAACATTCATTTTAATGATTTTCATTCAGATCCAGAATAAAAATAACCCTTTTTTATTAATTGTAATACTGTGTGTTCTTTGCTGGGCTACATTTAATACATTTAAAATACGTTTAAATCAAAGCATCCAAGAGTGTGTTTATATATATATCAGGTGTACTCATCAGCTGATTCCTTAAGTTAGCAATTAGCATAGAAATGCCAGCAAATATAAAAATAATTATGTCTCCTAAAGAAATAGAACAGCTTTGTATGGAATAGCAGATGTTAAGTACAAAAATAAAAGTACATTCCTTCAGACATACTGAAGAGAAGAAAAATAAACAACATTTTGGCTGTGGAGCCTTCTTCGGTTGTGAGAAAGAGAGGAAAGTTAGCAGCTGATAAAGCATGGGAGAACGAAAGCTGGAAGTAGAGAGGAGGTGGAAGCAGGAGAGAAGCAGAGTGAACACTCAGGTGGTGTGAACTTGAATCCAGCAAATGAATAGAGAGGATAAAAAATGCTTCTGTTTTTAGACATAAACCTATCCATTAACCATCCATTACTCTACTTCTGTCTATTACCCACAGATTCACACAGCTACAATCATGGCTAAAAATATTGGCATGCTTGCACTTTTTGCAAATAACTCACAAATAAGTTGAAATTGTCCAAAGTATTTAGTCTCCACAATTCTTTATTTCACTGTCAATATTACAGAACATTTGTTTTTGATTCAGAACTTATATAACCTTTTAAATCAGAAAATAAAAAGAAATGGCATTAACAAAATTATTGACACCCCAGACTCAATATTTGGTTGGTCAAAATAAGTGCTTCCTATAGCTATAGATAAGCTTCCTGCACCTCTATACTAGCAGTTTGGTCCACTTGTCGCTTACTCCGATCCTGACTCCTGTCTAGTGCGTATTTAGGACCCTATGTAGACAGTAAAATCCAGAAGAGACTGAAGAAGGGCAACAGGGAAACACGACAGGATCAGGATGGGATGACTGACAGGGGGGCGTGACAGCAGTGTTCTGGTGCTTGGGGGCGTGGCACAGGCGAACAAGTCCAAAACAGTCCAGAAGGGGAAAACAGGAAGCAGTCGAAAAGTCCAAAGACGGGAGATCCAGCCAAACAAAGACACGGGAACGGGAATGAGGAATCAGGAACACGGAAATAAAATCATAACGGAGCCAGGTGCTCCGAGCCCCGGACCAAGATTGTCAGGACGTTGGGCATTAAGACCTGCCCCCGGGCTATCCATGAGCCAGTGGGATAGGCAAGCCTTGTGGCGTCCATCTTCCAAAACCAAGCCCTGAAGCCCGGAGGTGCCAAACTTAAGTAGTGACAGGAAAATGGGAGACAGGCGCACATAATCATGAAACTAAAAACGAAAGATCAGAGCACCCTCGAGAGGAGGGATGATGACCGTGACACCACTCTTCTTGTGCAAACTGCTCCAGTTCTCCCAGATTTGAAGGGTTCCTTTTCCCAACTGCTGTTTTCAGATCTCTCCATAGGTTTTCAATGGGATTTAGATCTGGACTCATTGCTGACCACTTCAGAAAAGTCCAGCATTTTGTCTTGAACCATTCCTAGTTGCTTTTTGAAGTGTTTTTAGGGTCATTGTCATGCTGGAAGACCCATGACCTTCGATGGAGACCCAGCTTTCTGAGACTGGATATGACATTGCACTCCAAAATGCCTTGGTTTTCTCCTGATTTCATGATGCCATGCACACATTCAAGGCACCCACTGCCAGTGGCAGCAAAGCAACCCCAAAACATCACTGAATCTCCTCCATGTTTCACAGTAGGGAAGGTGTTCTTTTCTTTGAAGGCTTCATTCAGAGATGGTGTGCTTTACCAAAAAGCCCGACTGCAATTTGCCAAAATACACCTGAACATGCCAAAATCCTTCTGGGAGAATGTTCTGTGGACAGATGAGCCCAGATTAGAACCTGAAACTGTTTTTAACCCTATCAACTCCATTGTAAGCCCATCCAACTACGAGTGTCAATTCACTTCTAACGCTACACTTTCCATCACTAAAAACAGCTACCATATCACCCTGCAACTCACAACTAGCAACTCATTGAAGCTAAACAGGTGTGAGCCTGGTTAGTACCTGGATGGGAGACCTCCTGGGAAAAACTAAGGTTGCTGCTGGAAGAGGTGTTAGTGGGGCCAGCAGGGGGCGCTCACCCTGTGGTCCATGTGGGTCCTAATGCCCCAGTATAGTGAGAGGGACACCGTACTGTAAACAGGCGCTGTCCTTTGGATGAGACGTAAAACCGATGTCCTGA